CTACCCAGCGAACTCCTATCATTTCTGTAAGATTTACCTCCTCCAAGTAACCTGACCTCCTAAGCCATACCTACATCCTGTGTTTGGGGGCCGTTTTTCAATGTTGCAGGAATAGTCTGCACAATATGGAAAGTGGAAAAAACAGCTTATAATCATGGCTATATTCGATAATCAATAGCTATTACTTAGTAGAGGTAGAGTTAAATTCTTGTGGGAAATATGTTCACTGCTGTGTCTCTAGCATCCAGAAGAATGCCTATCATATAGTAGGTGCTCATGAAATAGTTTTTCTTGGATATGTCTTTGTCAGTGTGTTACATGATCTTCTTGACTGTTCAAGAGCTAAGATATAAAGAAAAAAAAGAATGTTCCATGGGTTGGGGACCTACAGAGGTAGAGTGGATAACTACTGGTTGGTCATGTTTTAGATTCCAACTTTATTTTTATTTATTTTTTTGAGATGGAGTTTTGCTCTTGTTGCCCAGGCTGGAGTGCCGTGGCGTGATCTCGGCTCACTACAACCTCCACCTCCCAGGTTCAAGTAGTTCTCCTGCCTCAGCCTCCCGAGTAGTTGGGATTACAGGCATGTGCCTCCACACCCAGCTAATTTTGTATTTTTAGTAGAGACGGGGTTTCTCCATGTTGGACAGGCTGGTCTCGAACTCCCAACCTCAGGTGATCCACCCGCCTCAGCTTACCAAAGTGCTGGGATTACAGGCCTGAGCCACCACTCCCGGCCTAGACTCCAACTTTAAAATAAGGAATGTAAGGAGTTAAGAGTATTGGGAGATCCCTTTTGGTGCTTTATTTCTGCAAAGTGATGCAACAGTTTCAGTGTACTCTTGTACTTGTTTGTCCTGTACTCTTGTACTTGTTTATCTAGCTGGAGGATGGAAATTGAAAGCACAAGGAGCTATCTCAGGTGACTTACCTTGTTCTGATTCCTCTCCCTGGATGCTATATAAAGATAGCTTATTTTTATTTTTCCCCTTAATGGCCATGATTTCAAAGAGACACATTTCGTATGTGCTATCCCATACAGTCTGGTTAAATTGGTCCAAGTGTTTTTATACTTGGATGACTGAACTACTTTGAAATAAACGTTATTTGTGTGATAATGCCAATGTGAAAGTATAGCAGATATTAAAAAAGCACAAACTGAGAGCACTGGAGTTTGGACTGTGATAGCTATAGCTTCTGTCTCAGCATTACTGAACTCATTAATGAACTCAGCATTAGTTCCCAAATACTTTCCTAATTTATTTAGGGGCAATTTCGCCCCTTCTCCTCTCTACATGACTCCGGCGGGTCTCATTCACAGTGTCCCCCCTACCCCATGACCGTCCTTGAGATTCCCGTCTGAACAGCTAAGTCAGCTTGAGCTGCGTTTGGGGCTCCCTGCAGCTTTTTGCCTACTACACGCAGAGATCCTTTGTGTATGATGAAGCCGAGGGGAGCTGAGAGATGGAGAGAGTCCTGATAATATCAGAGGTCTGGATCCAGCCATGTGGAAGCTAGAACTACTGTAGACTTCCTGTTTATGAAGGGAAAACATTTTCCTTTGTGTTTAAGCTAGTTTGAAACAGGTTGCTGTCACAAGCAAGTGAAAAAAAATCTTAAATTATTTTGGGTGAATATTTGAGTTAAATAAAAGAGCTGATACAAAACATCAAAAGCTATGAGAATACTGCTGAGATTTCCAGTTAACCTGCAGAAGCAAAAGAGATCTGGGGGAGTGTTAAGGTTATGGGTTAATATCAGGCTGACTTATCTTAATATTTTGCTGATCTGTCCATCTTTTTCAATTTTTTTATTAAGAACAGGTAACATGAGATCTACCCACTTAACAAATTTTTATATTTATAAGCACGATGTTGTACAGCAGATCTCTAGCACTTACCTTACATAACTGAAACTTTATACCCATCGAACAGCAGCTCCCTACTTCCCCTCTCGCCAGCCCCTGGCAACCACCATTCTGCTCTCTGCTTCTATGAGTTTAACTATTTTATGCAGTATTTGTCTTTCTTTCACTTAGCACATTGTCCTCAAGATTTGTCCATTATCCTGATTCATCCATTCTGTCACATATGGCAGGATTTCCTTATTTTTATGGCTAATATTTCATTGTATACACACACACACACACACACACACACACACATACATATATATATCTCGCTTTTTTTTGAGATGAGAATCTCAACTTATAATGACTTAGATGATAAATATTGTGCAGAATATTCCTGCAACATTGAAAAACGGCCCCCAAACACAGGATGTAGGTATGACTTAGGAGGTCAGGTTTCTTGGAGGAGGTAAATCTTACAGAAATGATAGGAGTTCGCTGGGTAGAGTGGAACTTTAGAGGGAGCAGGTAAGGGACAGCAGAAACCAAGTTTTCAGGAACAGTCATGAAGGTCTGAGTGGCATATGCACCTTTTCTACACTTCTATGTTGTAGAGTCTAAAACAGAAATGAGGCTAGCTAGGGAGGCAGTAGCCTGACTGCAGAGAGCCTTGCTTATTATGCTGGGCCAAGAACTCGGTATTTGACTCCAGGCAATCAGGAACTACTGAAAGATGTTAAGGAGTGGAAGCATGGTGACAAACAGAAATTTATGTGAGAATGACCACCCTGTAGGCATTTGAAAGATGGATTTGAATGGACTGAGACTAGAAGCAGGAGACCGGGAAGCTCTTTTGGCAATGATGCAGATAAGAGATGATGGGGGTCAGAAGAAAGAAAGAGACAGGTAAGAAATAGGAGGTAAAATTGGCGAGGCTGGGTGATTATGTGTGGGAAGAGAAAAGGAGGGAAGAGTCACAGTTACCACTGGATAAGAACTTAGGTGACTGGCTGGGTCACTGGGCTGCAGGCAGGGCCAGGCTTTGGGGTGTGGAGGCAGTGGGGTCATGAGTCACAACCAAGCGCTGGTGTGTTTCACCCTCTGTGGGATATACCAGTGGAGATGGCCAGCTGGGAGCTGATTCTCAAGTCCAGGAGAAAGTCTTGACTGGATCCCAGTTTGGTAGCCATCAGTAGGTTGGTAGGTATTTTAAACAAGGGAATATGAGGACCAAGGGAGAACATACAGATTGGCAAGAAAAGGAAACCCAAGTCCATGCCTTAGGGGCCACCACATTTAATGGCCCAGTAATAACAGCAGTGACTAATGTGTAGCAAGTGCTCATTGTATTGTACATGGAGTGGCTTTAATCCTCAGCAACACCAGAAATTAGCACCATTATTATCCTCAATTTCACTGATGAGGAAACAGACCCAGAAAGCCTGAGTTCCCACTGCCACATGGTCAGTAGGGGAGTCTGAGAATCTGATTCCAGAACCCAAGCCCTTAGCTGCTGTGCTCTTCTGCCTGGGAAGGAAACGAAGAAGAGAGAGAATATGGAGAACTGGGAGAGCACCTCAGAAGCTGAGGGAAGTGCTGTTTCAAGGAAAGAGTCATCCATGATCTCAGGAGCTGAGCAGCCCACTGAGCAGGCTGGGAAAACTGCGCTGTAGACTTGGCGGGGAGAGGCCTCCTTGGGCAGTTGAGGGCTCTGGAGCAGCTCAAGGTGAGAATGGGGAGATGAGGAAATGGAGACAGCAAGTGTGGGCTATTGTGAAAGGTCTGATGAGAAAGGGGGTGACAAGAGGCAGCCGTTACAGTGGAACACAGGTTTGTTTTTAACAGGAAATCAAGCGTGCTTACGGTGTGGGAAAAAGCCAAGGTGAACTCTGATACAGGAGGGTGGGGAGAAATTGCTGGAACAAAGCTCTATGTAAGAGTCTTCATTTACCATTGTTCACCACTGCCCCTCAAGACACTCTCATGCATTTGCTGCCATGTTTCCATATTCCCTGACTTGCTTCTTACCTGTATTGACGAGACGAATCCTGAATCTCCTTTGGGGCTCTCAGTTCTGTCTATCCTTGCAATGATTTACCCTCAGCTATCTTTTCATGCATAATTCTCCAGGCAATCTTACTCGCCTATGTGCTGAAAAACCCCAAAATCAATACGCCAGCCTAGACTCACCCACCCAGATTCCTCCATCCAACTGATTCCAACATGTCCTTTTATGTGTGTCTTCCCTCGTTCTCAGCACGTCGATTCCTTTGGGGTCGCTCAGTTGTGAATACCGTCGCATCCAGTTCCCTCCCTGCCTCCAACACATCCACGTTCTTGTTCTCTGGATTTTGACTTTGGTGCCATCTCCACCAGAATCTTTCCGTAACCCTTCATGACTCCTGCAGCGCTAGCTGTGGTTCTTACTATATCAGAGTTGCTGCTGACATGTCTGTTTGCTTTTACTGAATGTAAACTACTAGAGGGCAGGGCTTATGTCTATTCACAATTACATCCTTTTTCTTTAGTAAGAAATGAGATTGGAAAACTTAGAAGCACATGTAAGGGATTGACACCTCGAAAAGGAGAGAGCACATGGTTTTCTGGGACTGGACTGAGGGAGATGAGAATAGACACTGATCTGTATGTGTTTATAGGTTGCATGGGAAGTTGAGGGGCTTAGGGACACAATTTGCATAGTAGAGTAGGAGGTAAAATGGTTTCCTGAGAATGAAGGAGAGGGGCTTGGATTTGGGGATTGAGTGGAGTCATGAAGATACAGGCAGGCTATGGAGAGGCCAGGGAGGGAGAAGGACCCAGAGGAAAGCCATCCCCCTCGAGGGCGGGAGCATGGTGCCGCCTCCTGCAAAGTAGCGTCTTTCCCACTCCTCAGAGCGTCCTGGATTTTGAGTGTGTTTCCTGTTCCATGTAGAGATGGGTTTCTTCAGAACGGTCTAGGTCTACCAACCGGTATTTTTACCTGTAAGTTATGAAGTTCTTTTTACCTGTGAGAAGTTATTCTTTTTACCTATGATGAAAATAGTGGGCTCTAAGGACAGAATCGTAGTCTGGGAGCTAAAAGATACGCTGCACATATCCCTACTTTCTTAATCTTCTGTTTCCCAAATATGTACATATGGAAAAATAAAGATTGAGGTAAAATTCTTGTGCTTTATTTCTTTAAAGAATGAAAATGCCCATGTTTCTTTCAGTAATAAAAATGGAAATATGCTTATTTGACAGTTTTGTTGTGAACATGACCAAGTTATGAATTTTAAAATTCATTCTTTAGGTTGGCAAATTCTGATAATAAAATAACAGTAACTGTTTTCAACAAAAGAATTTTCTAAGCACTGCTTCTGTTACCAGACACTTGAGACTGATCCACTTCAGAGCACAGTGCTTTACATTAACCATGTAGAGATCCACACACACATATGTATCTCCATACATACATACATACTGTAAGATCAAGTGGAATGCTGTTTTTACATGTAGTGGTCACATCTTTATGAACTGTGAATTTGGGTCCTGTAATGGCACTGGTAAGTGAAGTATTCAAACCGAGCTTGATGGATGGAAGAGGTCGTTGAGAAACACCTGAATGTCTTTTCTTTGGGGAGAGAGTAATCAATTACCAAATTCATGCAAAACAAAAGTGGTTCCCTTTGCTCTGGCGGATGTACCAGCTCCGGGCAGCAAGGAGCCTTCTGTGTAGCCTTCGCCACTGACAACATGCTACTGTTACTGTAAATGCAAATACGCTATCTTTCTACAACAGCCATATCCCTTTTTTTTTCCCAAAAGTATCACTAAAGGTGGCTGCAATTTACATTGTGAATATATAGCAGTCTGTTGAAGGAATCATCTGTTATTAGAAGAGCCTGAGTATTACCCCAGCAGAAGATGCTACAACCTCTAAATTCCCTGTGCTAGATGAAGCCCATGAGTTCTTTTATTATTTTATTAATAATAAATATATTTGAAAAATCCTATGCTTCAATGGATTTCTCCGATAAGGACTGAAGCAAGTCCTTATAGACAGCAGAGTTCATGAATCGAGGATATGAGTCTCTGTGCATCAGGGTGTAAATCTGAAGTTGAGCATCATCGAATATGTGTTGGGATGGCTCCACCATGTTTCTGTTGATGACTTCTCTCACCCGGGAGTCTAAGCTCACCTGTCGACAGAAACGAGCAGGAGCTGTATTAGAGACTTTAGTTGTATCTCTATCCCAAACTCCTACAGCTTGTGGGGTTTTTTGTTGTTGTTGTTTTTGTTGTTTTTTGTGTGTGTGTGTGTGGTTTGTTTTGTTTTGAGACAGTCTTACTCTGTTGCCCAGGCTGGAGCGCAGTGGCGCAATCTCAGCTCACTGCAGCCTCCGCCTCCCAGGTTCAAGCAATTCTCCTACCTCAGCCTCCCGAGTAGCTGGGATTACAGGCACCCACCACCTCACCTGGCTAACTTTTGTATTTTTGGTAGAGATGGGGTTTCTCCGTGTTGGCTGGTCTTGAACTCTTGACCTCAGGTGATCTGCCCGCCTCGGCCTCCCTAAGTGCTGGGATTACAGGTATGAGCCACTGCGCCCAGCCTTGTTGTGTTTTAAATATCCCAAACCAAACAAGATAATCCAAAAAATCCAAACTGCCAAAAGAGAAACCAAAAGCATAATCAACGTGGTTCTCAAATGTCGGTGGCATCAGCAGGCTCCAGAGGGCTTGTGAGAGCGGTTGCTGGGCCCCACCCCAGACTCAGTAGGTGCAGGGGCCCCCTGATCGCTTGTCACTTCCCGCAAGTTCTAAGTGATGCTGGCGGGGCTCACACTGCTGCTTTGAAGAAAACAGGCAGCACAGACTGCCCCTTGCTCATTTCCTTGTAACATGGGGGCTGATGCGTGGAGGCCCAGGCTTCCCCTGCTGGCCCACAGTGGCAGGGCTCTGGGGATGAGTGCTGGCCTGCCCAGAGGGTTGGGCACAGGGGTGAAGTAGGAAGTTGAATCAAAATCCTGGAAGGTTCCAATCACAGGGCCTGAGGGCAGACGATGCCTGTGTTTAAATTCCAGCCCTGGCCGGGTATGGTGGCTCACACCTGTAATCCCAGCGCTGTGGAGTTCGAAACCAGCCTTGCCAACATGGCAAAACCCCTTCTCTCTACGAAAAATAAAAAATATTAGCTGGGCATGGTGGCAGGTGCCTGTAATCCCAGCTACTCAGGAGGCTGAGGCAGGAGAATCGCTTGAACCTGGGAGGCGGAGGTTGCAGTGAGCTGAGACCGCGCCACCGCACTCCAGCCTGGGCAACAGAGCAAGACTCCATCTCAAAACAAACAGACAGACAAAACCAACCCTGTCACTGCATTGTTGTGGGGCCTCAGGCAAGGTAAACTGTGTTCTAGTGAGCTCCTCCCCTGAAGTGGGTATGATGATGATGGTAGTGTCTTATGTTTTTGGTGATTTAATGACGAAGTGCTTGGATTTCACTAAGCCCGTAGATGTTGATTGCTCTGATGTTTGGCTCTTCCTAGACAAGGTGATCTACCTGCCTCGGCCTCCCATAGTGCTGGGATTACAGGCGTGAGCCACCGTGCCCGGCCTGTGTTTTGGTTGTATAATACTTTAAAAGACTGATGAAAAACTTTGCCTTAAAAAAAAATCATGACAAAATAAAAATATGTGGAAGCCATAAATTAAAGAACAAAAATTATCTTGCTCTTTATTAGCCCAAAATGAAAATAACTTTCTGGACTCAGTATTCAAACATGTCAACTGAATATTACCAATTTAACAACAATGAACTTAAGAAAGCAAAATGTAACGACGCAAAATTAAGTAAGCCAACGACCCCACCACCTGGTCTGCCTACACCAGGCATATGGGAGTCATTTGAGACGGTGGGTTTGCCTCAAATCCAACCCTTCCTCTCTAGCATCTTTGGCTGGCCTAGCTAGCCCCTTGCCATGTCCCTTTGGGCTCCTGAATTAGTTTTCTAAAGTCTTCTGCCCCTCATCTTCTCCAAATCCATTCTGTAGCCCTATTGGTCTTTCAAAAATCAAAATTCAATGATACAAATGGGCTAAAATCCAAGGGCTTCCCAAGATAAAAATCCGGACACTTTGGCATGATGCCAAAACCTCTCCATGCTCTCTGACCCCTTATCTCTTAAGTCTCCTCCCGCTGCCTGCCCCCAGCCCTAATAGTTTGGTAAGCACCCTCCCCTTCCAGCACAACAATCTATGTACACTTGCAGTGATCGCACAACTTCATGCTCTTCTCCTGGGCTCGCCTGGGCCTGTCTCCTGGGATGTCGCCATCCTGCTGTGTTTGTGGAAATTTCCTTTTCACTATCCTTGGTCCATCTGTAGCCTCCTTGAGTATTTTTCTCATTCTCACCCACCCGTTTGTGGATGGCTCACCCCCGAGCCCCAGTGAGTGCTGAGGGTGTGGCCAGGGGTCCTGGTCTGTCTGCCCACATCTCCAGGAGCTCCATGACAGGAGAGGCCCTGCTTCTTCAACCTGACATTCCTGTCAGCACACAGTAGGAAATAACCAATAGTTTTATAATTAGAGCTGCAGGGCACCCAATTGTGAGAACAATCTGACCTCCTAAATTTTATTATTATTATTTTTTTGAGGTGGAGTTTTGCTCTTGTTGCCCAGGCTGGAGTGCAATGACGCAATCTCTACTCACTGCAACCTCTGCCTCCCAGGTTGAAGCGATTCTCCTGCCTCAGCCTCCTGAGTAGCTGGGATTACAGGTGAACGCCACCACACCCGGCTAAGTTTTTGTATTTTTAGTAGAGAAGGGGTTTCACCATGTTTGGCCAGGCTGGTCTCGAACTCCTGACCTCAGGTGATCCATCTGCTTCGGCCTCCCAAAGTGCTGGGATTACAGAAGTGAGCCACTGTGCCAGGCCTGACCTCGTACATTTTAGATCTGAAGTAACTGAAACTCTGACAGGTGGAAACTTGCCCAATCTCATTCAACTGATAATTTCTTGAATGCGAAAAGGCCAGCCTGGGGAAAACCTTTTCCGCATCAGTATCACAGCTGTGATGCTGCTGCCCTGTAACATCAAGATACCTAAAGACAATATTTTTCTCAGCATAACAAGATAATTTTATTTAAAGGAACTTCTTAGGGTGTAATGTTTGTAAACAGTGTTCACCATCAAATGCAGACTCCAGGGGATACTTTTTCCAGAAAAATGCACAAAAGTTTTCACAGATTTCAGAGGACACTTGCAGCCCCTCTGCAGGTCCACAGTCAAAGGGATCTGAATACTGTGAATGAGGGTGCAGCTGTTTGGTCATGTTCAGCTTGACCCAGAACAGCAACTGCAAAATGTAGAAAACAGCTGCACCTGCATTCACGGTATTCAGATCCCTTTGACTGTGGACCTGCAAAAGGGCTCCAAGTGTCCTCTGAAATCTGTGAAAACTTTTGTGCATTTTTCTGGAAAAAGTTAAAAGTAATGGCGAGGCCAGGCACAGTGGCTTATGCCTGTAATCCCAGCACTTTGGGAGGCCAAGGTGGGTGGATCATGAGGTCAAGAGATCGAGACCATCCTGGCCAACATGGTGAAACCCTGTCTCTACTAAAAATACAAAAATTAGCCAGGCGTGGTGGTGCGTACCTATAATCCAGCTACTCTGCAGGCTGAGGCAGAAGAATCGCTTGAACCCGGGAGGCAGAGGTTGCACTGAGCCAAGGTCGTACCATTGCACTCCAGCCTGGGCGACAGAGTGAGACTCTGTCTCAAAAAAGAAAAAAAGAAAAAAAAAGGTGATTACTTTTGTTTAGTTTTTTGAGATGGAGTTTCGCTCTTGTCACCCAGGCTAGAGTGCAGTGGCGCAATCTCAGCTCATTGCAACCTCTGCCTCCTAGGTTCAAGTGATTCTCCTGCCTCAGCCTCCCAAGCAGCTGGGATTACAGGCGCCCGTGACCACACCAGGCTAATTTTTGTATTTTTGGTAGAGACGGGGTTTCACCATGTTGGTCAGGCTGGTCTCCAACTCCTGACCTCAGGTGATCTGCCCGCCTCAGCCTCCCAAAGTGCTGGGATTACAGGCGTGACCCAACGTGCCCGGCCTGTGGCAGTTGCTTTTGCACCAAGTTAATACTTTTACCATCAGCCTTGGGAGAAGGCATTTCGTGGTCACATACCTCCTTAGGAGAAAGTATAGAAATGTAGTCTTCATAGATTATCCTTGCTTTCTCTTCAATAATGTTTTTATTAGCTTCCTTTTTCAGTTCCTCACAGGCCATCCAGAAGAGCATATTTTCTTCACTGAATTCTGTTCGGAGAAATTCACGGAATGCATTCCTTCCTGCTGGAGTGACCATTAATTTGTCGAATGACTGAGCCCAGGCGTTGACTTCTTCCAGAGTAGGAGCAGGGCTTCGTGGAGACCAAAAGAGAGGGGGCATAGGGGAACTGTTAGTGGTAGTTAATTGGAATTTCATCATTAGAAATGTATCTTTTCCTCCTCCAAGAATGAGAAATATATGCATTTAGGCCCTTTTAGGAAGGGTTTCTTCAAGCCTTTGGGAAAAACACATGAATATGATACTTTCACATTGTTTGCTGGATTGCATACCAAAAGGCTTGCAAACCAAGTTGCTATAATAACTGCTAAGAACATGCTTGTTTACAACTGGGCACATCTTGCAATATTTTAAAAACTATAAATGTAAAGAAAAATCCTACAACCATCTGACCCAAAACTTCCTAATCACCTGTGATGAGTTCTGTACTACAACAGAACTAAGTCAGGTTTGACAACATTAAACCTCTAGAACAACAGAGCAAGTGTCTGCTTAATGTATTTTAAAATTATGTAATATTTGAGAAAGAGAATATATGTAATATAAATGCAAGTTATAAATGCCACCGCTGTACTGTCCAAAGGTGACAACAAAATGAACACTTTTTTTTTTTTTTTTTTTGAGAGTCTCGCTTTGTTGCCAAGGCTGGAGTGCAGTGGGGTGATCACAGCTTACTGCAGCCTCGGCTTACTATGCTCATATGATTCTCTCTCCTTGGCCTCCCAAGTAGCAGGGACTACAGGCAGGTGCCACCATGCCCAGCTAATTTTTTGTATTCTTTGTAGAGTCAGGTCTTACTATGTTGCCTAGGCTGGTCTCAAACTCTTAGGCTCAAGCGATCCACCCACCTTGGCCTCCCAGAGTGCTGGGATTACAGGTGTGAGCCACTGCATCTGACTCACTTTTTAAAAAAAATTACAAACATTTAAAAAATATAATTGGGGGTACAAGTGCATGGATACATTGTTACATGGATACACTGCACAGTGGCAAAGCCTGTGTTGTTAGCGTAGCCATCAATGGGATAGTGTGCATTGTAATCGTCAGGTAATTTCTCATCCCTTACCTACCTCCTACCCTCCCATCCACCTTTCCGTGTCTCCAGTGTAAATGAACACTTATGAATGGGCTATTTTCCTTAAGAACCAGAACAGCACTGACAATGTTGCATTTATTTTGGTGCTACTTCTACTTGCTACTGTCTCCCAGCTTCGTCCCCTAGGGAACTGCTATACTTGACTTTGGGGTTACCCCTTTGAGTTAATTCTTACTTCTGTCATAATTGTATCGAGATCAGAAAACATAGCTTAATAACGATCCTTAATATCTCTTTTATTTTGTTTCCATAGTTTTAAATGTATGTATGTAACCCTGAAAAATGTAGTCTTTAGTTTTTATTTATTTATTTATTTTATTTTTTTAAGACAGAGTCTCTCTCTGTAGCCCAGGTTGGAGTGCAATGGCATGATCTCGACTCACTGCAACCTCCACCTCCCAGGTTCAAGCGATTCTCCTGCCTCAGCCTCCCGAGGAGCTGGGATTACAGGTGCTCACTACCACACCCGGCTACTTTTTTGTATTTTTAGTAGAGATGGGATTTCACCATGTTGGCCAGGCTGGTCTGGAACTCCTGACCTCGGGTGATCCACCCACCTTGGCTTCCCAAAGTGCTGGGATTACAGGTATGAGCCACTGGTAAGTATAATGCAAATATTCTGAAATCTGAAAAAATCTGAAATCTGAAACATTTCTAGTTCCAAGCATTTTGGATAAGGGATACTCAAACTGTATTTCAATCTCCTTGTTATATGGGTCTTTTTGGATACCTTCAGGTTCACTATTTATTTAGCTGTATCTAATCTTTTATTTCAATCATCAATTTTAAAACAATTTGAACAATAATATTTCATTTTTAAAACTTCTATTTTGTTTGTTTTCAAATCTCCCAGGTCATTTTTTTTAAGAAATGTGTTAACAGGCTGGGCACAGTGGCTCACGCTTGTAATCCTAGCACTTTGGGAGGCCGAGGCGGGTAGATCACCTGAGGTCAGGAGTTCGAGACCAGCCTGGCCAACATGGTGAAACCCCATCTCTACTAAAAATACCTGTAATCCCAGCTACTTGGGAGGCTGAGGCATGAGAATCACTTGAACCCGGGAGGCAGAGGTTGCAGTGAGTCAAGATCACACCACTGCACTCCAGCCTGGGCGACAGAGCTAGACTCCATCTCCAAAAAAAAAAAAAAAAAAAAAGAAATGTGTTAACAGTGTTTACTCTCTTAGAGGTTAGATCACTTTCTTTACTTATATACCATTTAATTTTTGGCAAGCATCTATAGCTTTTTCTTTCTCCCTCTCCCTTTCATTTTATTTATTTATTTATTTATTTATTCATTTATTGAGATGGAGTCTTGCTCTGTCTCCTAGGCTGGGGTGCAGTGGTGCAGTGGTGCAGTCTTGGCTCACTGCAACCTCCGTCTCCGGGGTTCAAGCAATTCTTCCTGCCTCAGCCTTCTGAACAGCTGGGATTACAGGCGTGTGCTACCACGCCCGGCTAATTTTTATATTTTAATGAAAAGGAGTTTCACCATGTTGGCCAGGCTGGTCTCAAACTCCTGACCTCGGGTGATCCACACACTTTGACCTTCCAAAGTGCTGGGATTACAGGTGTGAGCCACCGTGCCCGGCCACCGTTTATTATATAACATACTTTTATTTTTAAAAGTATATTATATAAAAATAAAATAATATGTTTTGTTAGAAAGCATCTATTTGTATTTGCAATTAGCAAAGGGATTAGACTAATAATAGAACTGATTTCTCTCCCTGTCACACGATGAATTAAATGGAATTCTGCAGGGGAGGAATGTGAGGCCACATAATGATTGGATGTTACTAAATTGCAAGTAGAGAAAGTGTGCGTTTCTGTTGAAACATACAAGGCAAAGAAAAGAAAGGTTAGTATTTCTGTTAGTTTAGTGAGGTAAAAAAAACGTGCGATTTCACCTTTCTTCCCAGGTTGGAAGGTCTGCTCTGAGTTCGTGGGAAGCTATTGTGGGCCTCTGATCTTCCTGGTTTCTAACAGTGAGACTGCAAAAAAAAGACATTCACATGTTGACAGCTCAGTCTCTGCCAAGAAAAGATTTTTTACAAATATTTTAAAGATAACTTCAGATCCCGAAGTATTAATAGAATTTCTTCCTCTGCTTGGAAAAGAAAATGACCCCAGTTAGTTTTCCCAAGCAAACCAAAAGCATGACAGTAAGATACTAGAAATGTAAATTGTAACATTGTGGTTTCTACTGTTGAGAAAGAGTTAGAAATTATTGTGTTCAATTATACTTAGAATAATGATTTTTTAAATAAAAACAGATTCATTAGAAAATAGTAAAAAAGGTTTGGGCATGGTGGCTCATGCCTGTAATCCCAGCACTTTGGGAGGCCAAGGCAGGAGGATCACTTGAGGCCAGGAGTTTAAGACCAATCTGGGCATCATAGCAAGACCCTGTCTCTATTTAATACAAAAATTTAAAAAATGAAAATAGTAAAAAGTAAGACTGTCAGGAATGTTACGGGGTTTCATTTCATTTTTTGTATCTTAAAAAAGTATACATCCTCTAGGCTTTGTTTCCAGTCAAAATGGAGGCTTCATATATTTATAGGCACATATACAAAAGTAGTAGAGAAAACTAAGAAAGTGCATAATCAAAATCTATGTATTTCTCTAAAGAGTTTGTTTTCTTATACACATTCTGTACATTTGTCTGTAAACTTATTCCAAGTATTTTTGTTGTTACTGTAAATGGAATTTATACTTTTATCTCATCTTTTAACTGGTTATTGTTTGCAATATGAATGCTATTTTTTTTTTTTTTTTGAGACGAAGTCTTGCTCTGCTGCCCAGGCTGCAGTGCTGTGGCACTATCTGAGCTCACTGCAAACTGCCTCCTGGGTTCAAGTGATTCTTGTGCCTCAGTCTCCTGAGTAGCTGGGACTACAGGCATGCACCAACACGCCCGGCTAATTTTTGTATTTGGTTTCACCATGTTGGCCAGGCTGGTTTTGAACTCCTAACCTCAAGTGATCCACCCACCTGGACCTCCCAAAGTTCTAGGATTACAGACATGAGCCACCGCGCCCGGCCACTTTCTTAATCACTTGATTGAGCTATCATTCATATGCCGCCAAGTTTATCTGTTTAGAGTGTACAATTCAGTGGTTTTTAGTATACTCACAAAGTTGTGCAACCATCCCTGCCATCTAATTCCAGAACATTGTCATCACCCCCAAAAGAAACCCCACCAGTAAGCAGTCACCGCTTATCACCGGTATCTCCCCACTCTACCAGCCCTAGGCAAGCACGAATCCGCTTCCTGTCTCTATAGATCTGCCCGTTCTGGAACCTACGGTATGTGATCTTTGCTGGCTGTCTCCTTTCACTTGGCATAATGTTTTTGCACTTAACCCATGCCGTAGCATGTATCGGCACTTCGTTTCTTTTTCCAGTTGAATAACATCTCATTGTTTGGATAGACACATCACATTTCGTTTATCCATTCATCAGCAGATAGACATTCGAGTTGTTTCCACATTTTGGCTGCATGAATCATGCTGCTATGCACATTCCTGTGCAAGTATGTGCAAACATATATTTGTGTTTCTTATTCCTTAAGTAGAAACCTTGGAGTAGAACTGCTGAGTCATAAGGTAACTTGAGATTTAACATTTTGAGGAACTCCCAAACTATTTTACAAAGCAATTGCAGCATTTCACATGGTAATATTTGAGGGATCTAATTTCTCCATGTCCTTGCCAACAGTTACTGTTGTCTTTTTTATTCTAGCTTTGTAAGTGGGTGTGAAGTGGTATTTCATTGTGGTTTTGATTTGCATTTTGCTAATGACTACTGATGTGGAACATCTTTTCATGCATTTACTAGCTCTGTGTACCTCTTCTTTGGACAGATGTATATTCAGATCTTTTGACTATTTCTAAATTGATTTATTTGCATTTTATTATTGAAATGGAAGTGTTCTTTATTTTAAGATCTGAGGCCTAAAGAATATTACTTTAATGATAATTTTATATCCTTCCTATTTCTGAATTCTTCTGTATTTGTATCAGTTACAGCTATAATTCTCTTGGGATTTCATCTGCAAACAGGAAGAATTTTACCTTTTTATTTCCAATTCTCAGGCCTCTAATTGTTTTTCTTGTCTAATTAGCTAACGCCTAAAATACATTTTTTTTTTTTTGAGACAGGGTCTTGCTCTGTTGCCCAGGCTGGAGTGCAGTGGCGTGATTTCAGCTCACTACAACCTCCGCCTCCTGGGTTCAAGCAATTCTCTTCCCTCAGCCTCCTGAGTAGCTGGGATTACAGGTGCATGCCACCACGCCCGGCTAATTTTTGTATTTTTAGTAGAGATGGGGTTTCACCATGTTGGTCAGGCTGGTCTCGAATTCCTGACCTTGTGATCTGCCCACCTCGGCCTCCCAAAGTGTTGGGATTACAGGCATGAGCCATGGCGCCCGGCCAAATACATTGTTAAATAGTAGTAGAGATTGTGGACATTTTGCCTTATTTATGATTTTAGCAGGAATGCTTTTAGCATCCTATCAACTTAAAAATGGATGTTACCACTGACAACTGGGATTTTCTTTATCTTGTTGCTGCTGTATTTTCTATATTCTTTATTATATCTTTTCTTAACACTTTATTTTATAAAAGTTTTTCAGTCTGTTTTTAGCACATCTGTTTTATAAATTTTCAGTGTGTGTATGTGTGTGCAGCTCTGTTTTTCTTTAAAGGCAAAATCATTAGAAATGCAGGAACCCTTTTGACTTCCTTCTTTCATGATATCAGGGCTAAAAAGTTTCAGTAAATAATGGCTTCTTTAAAAAAAAATCCAACCAAAAAAACTTGAGAGGCATCTGAGTGGTACGTTCTCTGCATGACTTCCAAGGCTTCTTTTGTAGGCAGAACACATTACTGCTCAGTGGGTATGAAAAACCAGAGAAAAAAAGAGATGAATTTGACAGGAGATTCCTCAGAGAACCAGAAGCTCTACTGCAAACTCAATAATGCAAACTTATTTAAGCTTTGATATACTTTTTGCCTCATTTCAAGTAAGAATGTTTTAAAGAGACAATGTGTTTATGAAAACGAGAAGAATTTTTTTTTGTGAAGTTTTCTTTACCTTGGTCCACTGCTATTATTACAGCAGAACTAGAAGATGTCTATAGTAGCTCGCTGTGTTTTAGGAATTTTCAGTAAAAGAGGACCCACGGCCAGATACATTTGGGTAAAATTTTGAGTGATAAAGAGAAAACTTACTAGAAAGGAAAAAAAACTTTATATTCAAAAGAACAAGAATCAGCATGCCTTCCCTTATAACACTAAATACCGGAAGGCCTTACAGCAAAATGTTGAGAAAGATTCACAAGTACTTAGAAAACAAATTGCCATTTACCTTTCTCGAAAATTGACTTGACTATGTATATTAATATGGATAAATCTCAAAAGTGTGGTAAAAAAAAAAAGGAAATTCATTACTTAAACAGTTGAAGTTTGCTGTGTACTTTTCCCATCTCATTTCTTCCTCTCTTTACCCTAGAGAGAGCCAGCATTTTTAACTTACTGTTTACCATTCCAATTCATAGTTATGCTACTATATTATATTCATAAACATATTTTTAAACATAGTATAAATGTAATTATGTAACATATATTGCTTTGTAATTTGTTTTTTTTCCCTCTAGCATATGAGTTTATTTATTTCTGAGACAAGGTCTCACTCTGTTGCCCAGGCTGGAGTGCAGTAGCATGATCATAGCTCACTGCAGCCTTGAACGGGGTTCAAGTGATCCTTCCGCCTCAGTTTCTAGAGTAACTGGGACTACAGGCACATGCCACCATGCCTGGCTAACCTTTTTTTTTTTTTTTTTTCAGTGGAGACATGGTCTTGCTATGTTGCCTCAGCTAGTCTCGAACTCCTGGGCTCAAGCAATCTTTCTGCCTTGGCCTCCCAAAGTGCTGGGATTAGAGGCGTGAGCCACCGCACCTAACCTATTTATTTGTTTAGTTTTGTTTTTCTAGTATATGAATTTAAATGCTGTATGGTAGTGGATTGTAAAACTATACCACAGTATATTCATCCATTCTCCTGTCTATGCCCTTTAGAACCATTTTCAATTTTTCTCACTCAGATGAATGCTGTAGTGAATCCTCTCATACATGTCTCCTTTTATTGCAGGGGTGTGAGAAGTTTTTCCAGGGTATAGGTTTTCTTTTTCTTTTTTTCTTTTTTTGTTTTTCAGACAGAGTCTCACTCTGTTACACACAATGGAGTGCAATGGCACAATATAATTCACTGCAGCCTCAACCTCCCTGGGCTCCAGCGATCCTCCCACCTCAGCCTCCTGAGTAGCTGGGACTACAGGTGTGCGCCACCATGCCTGGCTAATTTTTGTGTTTTATTTATTTATTTTTTTGAGATGGAGTTTTGCTCTTGTTTGCCTAGGCTGAAGCGCAATGGTGTGATCTCGGCTCTTAAACCTCTGCCTCCCAGGTTCAAGCGATTCTCCTGCCTCAGCCTCCTGAGTAGCTGGGATTATGGGCATGTGCCACCATGCCTGGCTGATTTTGTATTTTTAGTAGAGATGAGGTTCTCCATGTTGGTAAGGCTGGTTTCCAATTCCCGACCTCAGGTGATCTACCTGCTTTGGCCTCCCAAAGTACTGAGATTACAGGCATGAGCCACCACGCCCAGCCAATTTTTGTGCTTTTTGTAAAGACGGTGTTTCACCATGTTGCCCAGGCTGTTCTCGAGCTCCTGGGCTCAGGTGATCTGCCAGGGTATAGGTTTTAAAAGGGTGTATATTTAACTTTCATTTTTCTGATCCTTGTTGGTAGGAAATACAAGCAGATTATTTTCTGTTCCATTTCATTTGCTGACTCTTTTGGTTCTTATTTATTAATGTATTTTAATGTTCTTTATCCTAGATATGAATTACTTGTTAATTGCACTGTAACTATCTTATCTGAGTATGTTTTATCTTTTCGTTTTATTTTTAGTATCTTTTGTTAAACATATTTTAAGGATAGCTTTATTAAGATATAATTTGGCTGGCCTGATGGCTCACACCTGTAATCCCAGCACTTTGGAAGGCTGAGGCGGGCAGATCACCTGGAGTCAGGAGTTCGAGACCTGTCTGGCCAACATGGAGAAACCCCATCTCTACTAAAAATACAAAAATTAGCTGGGCGTGGTGGTGTGCACCTGTAATCCCAGCTACTTGTGAGGTTGAGGCAGGAGAATCGCTGGAACCCGGGAGGCTTAAGTTGCAGTGAGCCGAGATCGCACGACTGCGCTCCAGCCTGGGTGACAGAGCAAGATTCCACTGCAAAAAAAAAAAAAAAAAGATATGATTTGCATACTATACAAGTTGCCAAATTGAACCGTATAATTCCATGGCTTTTAGTATATTTACAGAGTGGTATAACTATTGCCATGATGTTGGAACATTTCATCATCCCCGGAAAGAACTCTACACATTAGCAGTAACTCCATCTTCCTTACTCATAGGCAACTGCTAATCTACTTTCTGTCTCTTTGAATTTACCTATTCTGGACGTTTCATGTAAGTGGAATAATAAAATATGTGGTCTTTCATATCTAGTTTCTTTCACTTAGCATAACGTTTTCACAGTTCATGCTACATTTTGGCGGTGTCAAGGCTTCATTCTTTTTTTTTTTTTTTTCCGATACAGAGTTTCGCTCTTATTGCCCAGGCTGGAGTGCAATGGTGCGATCTCAGCTCATTGCAGCCTCCATCTCCTGGGTTCAAGTGATTCTCCCACCTCAGCTTCCCAAGTAGCTGGGATTACAAGCATGCACCACCATGCCTGGCTAATTTTTTGTATTTTTTTTTTAGTACAGACAGGGTTTCACCATGTTAACCAGGCTGGTCCTGAACTTCTGACCTCAGGTGATCCGCCCACCTCGGCTTCCCAAAGTGCTGGGTCACTCATTCCCTTTTTTTTTTCTTTTTTTTTTGAGATGGAATCTCACTGCTGCCCAGGCTGGAGTGCAGTGGCATAATCTTGGCTCACTGCAACCTCCGCCCCCTGGGTTCAAGTAATTCTCCTGCCTCAGCTTCCCGAGTAGCTGGGATTACAGGTGCCTGCCACCGTGCCTGACTAATTGTTGTATTTTTAGTAGAAACGGGGTTTCACCATGTTGTCTGGGGTGGTCTCGATCTCTTGATCGGCCTGCCTTGTGATCCTCCTGCGTCGGCCTCCCAAAGTGCTGGGATTACAGGTGTGAGCCACCGCACCCAGCTGATCTTTTTTTAAAGGTGGGAATTGATTTTTGTACATGGTGCTATGTAGGAATATAAATATATTTTTATATATTTGGATACCAAGCAGGATGACCAATTTTCCTGGTTTGCCTAGGGTTTTCAGGTTTTCTGGGCTGTGGGACTTTTCAGTGCTAAAACTGAGAAAATCCTATCAGTGGGGATGAGTTGGTACCCAAACACCAAGTATCCTGCTATTTACTGAATAGTTCATTTTCTCCTTTGCTGATGCCACTTTTGTCACGTGTTGGTAAGGTTTTCTAGATTTATTGTCTTTCACTGATGTTAAAACGATAGGGTGTATTTTTGGACTAATTATGAATAACATTGCTTTTGAAAGAAAATTTTCTTATAATAATTTTTTCTAAGAAAGTCTGAATTATTTGATTTCTCTGTCATTGACATGAGACTGTTTACAGCTTTAGTTTCACACTTTTTTAACACAAAATTCAGTGTCACATTTTATATCAATATTTGACCCCGTTGTAGCTACAATTGTTGTTTCCTGGGTCTTTCCTCTGGGTTCCCTTTTATCCCTCTGAACTAGGCCCTTTCTTCAGTTCTTTTAGGTTTGCAGGCAATAAACTTGGTTGGCCTTTGTATGTCTGAGGATGTCTTATTTTACCCACACTCTTGAATTATGGTTTGACTTAGTTTTCAGTTACTTTTCTCCAGCACTTTGAAGACATTGCTCTATTGTCTCTTCTACACACACCTAAGTGCTACAGAAGTGTTGGCTATGGTGGTGATGATAGTGTCTAGGTACAGATTATTTTATTTGTCCTATTTGTTACCTATAGGAGGAGCCTGCTCTGGGACATGCCCCGCCCTCTAGCCTTACACTGTCCCGGGACAATATGCTGTTCAGGTCAGCATGTCAGCCGCCTCCCCCACCCTGCGCATGAGGCAGCAGAGAAAGGAAGAAGGGGAAGGTTTGAACATCAGCTGGAGTCTCACCTGCACTCGGACATCCTGCACATCTCTAGGAGGATCGTCTCGTTTCTGCACTGAGACCTACTGGCAGAGTGAGAATATAGGCCCCTAAACGCAGTCTGGCCACCAGTGGTGTCTTCCTCCTCTAGGGCAGGCCCTGGACACCCACGCATTTCCTCTGCCCACCACCAGCGCCTCTCCTCTGGCTTCCTGCAGAGCTGTCCAGAGTCCTATCAGGGCTGAAGTCTCACCTTGACACTGCCTAGCTCTTGTCAGCCCCAGCCACATGTTTCCTCTTGCTGTGGGAATGAAGAGACCATCAGTATCGGGATCCCCCTGGTGGATGTTCTACTGCTGTGTCCCTTCCACCAGATTGGAACTTCTTGGAAATGAATAGTAGCCTGAGTTGGGCAGGAGCCACCAAACTTCCCCGGGCATTTCATTTTCAACCTCCAATCTCCTTCCCAGGGATCAGTTCTGTTAGTTCCATTTCGCGGTTGGTGATCAGTCCAATATCAGTTTTTCTTCTTTTCCACAGGACAGTGAGGTCTTGGTCTAACTTATTGCCAAGCCTACATAAATTTAGGATGATTTGATTGCTGAAAATGGTTCACAGATTTGGCTGGCACTAAGCACTTTTCATATCCAAGATTCCAAAGATGTAACTTAAAGTTCCCATGATTTTTAGGTGTAAATTATCTCCTTTTCTCCAGACCTTTAACAGCTACTCAAAGGGTCACGGATGTTTTACATCCTTTTTAAAGCAATGACTGTCTGTGTGTCTTTCTCTACCCAGTAAGTTAGCATATATTTTAATATTTGTCTCTATTTGAAACACATATTTTGACATTTCTCTTTATTACAAAACAAAATTTATGAAATGGAAGCAGCAGAAGGTAAAATCCAGGCTCCCTTTACTTCATCGTCCTAACCTTTAAGACCCATCTTAGATCCTAAGCCTTCATTACCCCAGGAGTGCCCCTAGTTCAATTCTTTCTAACCATTTCTGCCCAAATGTTGAGAGTCAATCGTGAACCGCCTGAGGTTGTTTTAGTTGTTTAACACACGGTGGCCTGATTTGAGGGATCTGAGCATAAGCCCCTTAAGAGGTAGTCAGATGTAGCCTGTTGTTATTTCTGGGGTGTCCCTCTGTGTCAGGCATATAGTAGTTGCTTAAAAAACACTTACTGAATTAACCGTAAGCTACCACCACTATTCACAGGTGCCACTTCCCAGTCAGGAGCACATTACACTTCCCAGTCAGGGGCACATTAATTAAAAAGTCTGAAACCTTACCATGAGCAGCTACAACAGCAGCACCAGCAGAAGCAGCATGCGTTGGACCCGCGACTCCCCGCTCCGGGCTGGCCTGGGGCGGCGCCTGGTGCGTCCTGGGCGAGGGGCATCTGCCGCTTCCGCATCTCCATCCGCTCTGATCCCATCGGCTGCAAGAGGGAGAGGAACAAAGCGGGAGGGGGTTCCAGCGTTATGAAGGCGTAAGCCCAGGGAGTCAGCTGTCTGGATCATTGAACAGATACAGTGCGACTATATTCAGGTCATTTTTGCTACTTCTCGTAACATTTAGTGCTTAGAATCTTAGGATCAATTAATGTATCCAACATGTAATGCTTATCCTCTGGCAAGCACTGAGATACATTCCAGGGATAAGCTAGCAGATGGAAGGCCCCGCCTTAGGCGCTCACAGTTCAGTAAAGGAGACAGAAACGCACACGCACTAAAGACTCCGCAGGCAGTGCTACGCAGGGCGGTTCCCAGCTCCGGGCATCCCTGTGGCCTGAACCAAAGAGGGGCAGGGATGGTGGCAGCTTCATGACGCTGCCCATGAGGCCAACACGCAAATATGGGAGGAGGTCAACATGGGAAGGGCGGCCCGGCTAATACAGCAGACTGAGGAGAGGTCAGAAGAGGAGGGGAGTCCTGGAGGCCAGAGTGGCCAGAGTCACGTCTTTCCTAGCTGCGTCACCTTGCAGAAGTGATCGAAATTGGGATGTAGAAGCATTCAGAACCCCGCCTGGTATAGAGTAATTGCTCAATTATTCCCAGGAAGCCAGGCAGGAGAGCCAGACCGTGGCCTGCCCAGACCTATCTTACCATACCAGGGACGGTCACCCTCACCTACTTCAGTGGAGGCCAAGCCATACGACACAAAATATCTGTGCCCTTCAGCCTCTGCCCTGTTGTTGGGGACTCCAAGAATGTGAAAGAAGAGAGAGATAGAAGCAGCAAGAGAAGCAAGAAATTGCTAAGCCCATTTTACGTTGGATACTATCACTTGATGGAGCTAATTGCAAGCTAATATCATGGACACACACATTAAAGAACCATAAACAGGACTTTGGAATTAATTTCTGGATCTATTATTCTATTTCAACATTAGATTTGTCTGTTCCTATTGATTATTACCTAATCCTCTACACTACTGGACTTTGTTCTAATTATTTTATTTATTTTTATTTTTTAAATTATACTTTAAGTTCTGGGATACATGTGCAGAATGTGCAGGTTTGTTACATAGGTATACACGTGCCATGGTGGTTTGCTGCACTCATCAACCCGTCATCTACATTAGGTATTTCTCCTAATGCTATCTCTCCCCTAGCCCCCCACCCCCAGATAGGCCCCAGTGTGTGATGTTCCCCTCCTTGTGTCCATGTGTTCTCATTGTTCAACTCCCACTTATGAGTGAGAACATGCGGTGTTTGGTTTTCTGTTCTTGTGTTAGTTTGCTGAGAATGATGATTTCTAGCTTCATCCATGTTCCTGCAAAGGACATGAACTCATCCTTTTTTATGACTGCATAGTATTCCATGGTGTATATGTGCCACATTTTCTTTATCCAGTCTATCATTGATGGGCATTTGGGTTGGTTCTAAGTCTTTGCTATTGTGAACAGTGCTGCAATAAACATACACGTGCATGTGTCTTTATAGTAGAATGATTTCTAATCCTTTGGGTGTATACTCAGTAATAGGATTGCTGGGTCAAATGGTATTTCTGGTTCTAGATCCTTGAGGAATCGCCACACTGTCTTCCATAATGGTTGAACTAATTCACACTCCCACCAACAGTATAAAAGTGTTCCTATTTCTTCACATCCTCTCCAGCACCTGTTGTTTCCTGACTTTTTAATGATTGCGATTCTAACTGGCGTGAGATGGTATCTCATTGTGGTTTTGATTTGCATTTCTCTAATGACCAGTGATGAACTTTTTTTCATATGTTTGTTGGCTGCATAAATGTCTTATTTTGAGAAGTGTCTATTCATATCCTTTGCCCACTTTTTGATGGGGTTGTTTTTTTCTTGTAAATTTAAGTTCCTTGTAGATTCTGGATAATTAGCCTTTTATCAGATGGATAGATTGCAAAAATTTTCTCCCATTCTGTAGGTTGCCTGTTCACTCTGATGGTAGTTTCTTTTGCTGTGCAGAAGTTCTTTGTTTTAATTAGATCCCATGTGTCAATTTTGGCTTTTGTTGCCATTGCTTTTGGTGTTTTAGTCATTAAGTCTTTGCCCATGAGTATGTCCTTAATGGTATTGCCTAGGTTTTCTTCTAGGGTTTTTATGGTTTTAGGTCTTATGTTTAAGTCTTTAATCCATCTTGAGTTAATTTTTGTATAAGGTG